CATATGATAATAGTCTTTCTCTGACTTATTTCGCTTAGCATAATACCTTCTAGTTCTATCCACATTGTTGCAAATGGCAAGATTTCATTTTTTGATGGCTGCATAATGTTCTCATTGTATATATATGTATATAATATATATATGTATGTATGTATATATATGTATATACACCACATTTTCTTTATCCATTCATCTGTCGATGGACATCTAGGCTCTTTCCACAGTTTGGCTATTGTGGACATTGCTGCTATAAATGTTGGGGTGCACGTGCCCCTTCAGATCACTAAATTTGTATCTTTGGGGTAAATACCCAGTAGTGCAATTGCTGGGTCACAGGGTAGCTCTGTTTTCAACTTGAGGAACCTCCATACTGTTTTCCTGACACCACGGGCTGTTCTTTAAAAAGAACTGTTTGAATGAAAGTAACTAATGATGCTGGGTGATGGTTACGTGGAGGTTTATCATATCCTTCCTTCTCTGGAAAAGAAAGTAACACTTTAAGACTTAGTGATACAGGAAATTCATAAACATATATATATTTTTTAAAGTTATATGGGGTGCAAAATGTGAAAACTCAATCATCCTCATACCTACCTGTCTAATCCCTAGAGGATAATACAGGTGACAGTCCGGAGTGTATGTTTCCTTTTATATGTATTTTTATATATGTCCATATGCACATATTTTCACATAGGTATTGTGCACACATACAAGTGTTTCTTCAGACTCCATTAAGGAATTACTGGGTCAAACGGTACATGTATTTACAAATTCTCGAGGCTCCATGAATTTTCGCTCACCAATTTTGTGCTGTATGATTTGGGATGAGGCCAGAAATCCTTTTTGGAAACAGGTGGGATATAAATAATAAATTAATACTTTGTAAAAACAACCCTCAGCCAGGGAGAGTGGTGACTTGGGTACTAGGGAAATATACCAGCTCTCAGTCCCAGACCACAAGGCATGCCTGCAGCCCCAGCCTGACCTGCTGATTTGATGCATGCCACCGTTAGGAGGCACTAGGAAGGAGGACTGAATTTCCCAGTCTTTGCAGAAAAAAGCCCTCTAATGTCTTGCTTACCTTGGCTGCACCAGCTCCAGGCCCCACCTGCCTGGCCTGATTTGAGGCAGACTGCCTGGCTACCCTTGGGGCTGCCCTGGAAAACAGCTCCTATCATCTCTTACAGCGAGGAAAACAACCAGCTGAAGGAGAGGGACTTGCAGAGTCTGGGGTTGGGATGAAGGGAAGGCCATCCTTTCCATGCTGGTCTTCACCTGTCTAGCCCAGGGAAACCTTGGGGTTACTATTTAATGCGGTAGATCTCTGTTGTCCTCGTTCCCCCAAACACAGTGTTAGTTTATGTACTTTCCGAAAAATTTTTAAAAGAGCCTTTTGATATGCCTTAGGAAGATTTGGTGAAGAGAAGCAGAGGCAGATTGGAGTTTATAGCCCTTATTTTTCCTACTCTTTCCATATATATAAATACATATACCATATTATTATATATACGTATTATTTCTGTGTGTGTTTTCTAAAGACAGCTTTTTCCTTTTAATCACAATTCATAGGTGGTGACCTGAGAGTACCGGCCCTAACTAACTCCCTTATATGGCAGTTTTTATTTAACTTTCTTTTGAGCAGAAAAAAGTGATCAAGTGTGAAGTTGCTTTTAAATTTTAAGAGAAGGCTACTTTGGCTTTGTATTTTCTTCCAGACAGAGATCCTAAGATATATATATATTTTTTAATATACAAGCAACCCGTGATCACATGCCTGCTGTGATAAAACAGTGCATAAGCAGCTCTCGTGTCTTTCCAATACTCTCCTCAGAGGGAACCATGGTTAACACTTCAGTGCATTTCCAGACCTCTTCCTTTGCAGTTACAAATACAAATCCATATATTCACATCCTTTTTATTTTATTTTATTTATTTTTTTTAAAGATTTTATTTATTTGAGAGAGAGAATGAGATAAGAGAGAGAGATCATGGGGGTCAGAGGGAGAAGCAGACTCCCCGTTGAGCAGGGAGCCTGCTGCGGGACTCGATCCCGGGACTCCAGGATCATGGCCTGAGCCGAAGGCAGTCGCTTAACCAACTGAGCCACCCAGGCGCCCCACATCCTTTTTATTTTAAAATGAATGGTATTCTGTGGCTTGTTCCCCCCCCCCCCCAGCTTAATATATCTTTAAACTCTCTCTATACTGGTACATATAGATGGATCTCATTCTTTTTAACAGCTGCATAACATGAATGGGTGCAACTGTAATTTATTGTAATTTTTCAGTGTTACAAATGGTCCTGTGGTAAACATCTTTGTGCTAAAGGATCTGGAGTTGCAGGTAAGGGGGGTAATACATTTGTTATAATCCCTAGAAAGAAAAGCGGGGATCCAGGTAACTAGTCCTGGTGTTCTGAGAACGAAGGTTTAGTGAGTAAGTGATTGTGGGAAATGGCTGCATGCTGAGCCTCCCTCCTGGTGATTCACAATTAAGTAGCATATTAAAAGTTCTGGAAATTCTTCAGTAACCACTCACTGCTGAGTGGTTTAAAAAGAGTTGTTTGCGAAGGGAAGGACCTTAATTCTTTGTACACATCTATTAAATTTTTCCTGAACTGGGCACCTGGGTGGCTCAGTCAGTTAAGCGTCTGTCTTAGGCTCAGGTCATGATCCCAGGGTCCTGTGATTGTGTCCCACATTAGGCGCCTGCTGAGCAGAGAGTCTGCTTCTCCCTGTACCCCTCCCTCTACTTGTGATCTCTCTCTCTCTCAAATAAGTAAAATCTTTAAAAATAAATAAATAAATAAAATTTTCCTGAACAGTTTTGTAAATGCCACCCAGTTGTAATCTCTCAAAGATAGGGCAGCATTTAGATAGGAACTCAGCCACATACTGTTCAAATAGGCTGGGCAGCTGGGGTGGAGTCAGGTTTGGATTTTGTCCAGGAACCAGGCTAGGCCTGGCAGCTCCTCCCAAGCCCCTTGCATAAGGTGAAGAGGGACCCAGGAAGGCCTGGCATAAACCAAGTCTTGAGGCTGATTGTGGGGAGAGGGGTGGAGTTTCACTGGTCTAAGTCTGGCTGAGAAGTGATATCAGACCCAGCAGACACAGTACAACAGTGGGACCCAGGCCTCTAACACAGAAGATTGTTGACCCAGAATCCCTAGAGAAGGAGCCACTTGGGGTGTGAGGGGGCAGCCTTAACCCACCCCCCCCCCCCCCCCCCCCCCCCCCTGGCCCACCTCCTCCACTTAGTGAAATCATGATTAACTGCCCCGGTTCTTACCTCTGTGAAGCCTCTTCCGATCCGGCCAGACCACTCCTGTGTGTGCTGGTAGCACCATTGCTGTACCTCTGTTAGAGCAGTTGGCAGTCTGGCTGGTCTTCTAGTTCATTCATGCTGGTCAAGAGGAAGGGCCACATAATGAATTATGTACTTCACAGTCTTCCCCAACAAAGGGGGAGCTCCTTTATTATGGGGCATGCCTTCACTCATTCCGTCATTATTGAGCACCGACCGAGTCAGGCATTAGCTCTGCTGCCAGAATACAGTAGTGAATAAGGTGGACCTAATCCCTGTCTTGGTTCATATTCTTACATTTCCTGTAATCTAGCCCGATGTCTAGTTCAAAGCTTGGCACAGTAGGGTTTAGAAATGGTAATCTAATTGGGAAAGCTGCTTTTGCATAGCGAGCACTTGTTTTAACTTCTGTGCTACAGATTAGAAAACATTTCCTCAAGATGCCTTGCTTAGTTTATATGACAGAAAGTCATTTATGTGAAATATTCTAAAGACATTTGGAGTGACCTTGGGAGCCTGATGGAGTCTGGGTGGTTGGCACCCCCGGCCACCCCTAGGGCTCACACCTGGCTGGGACCGAGCTGGCAGAGCACGCGGCTGGCCGCTGCCCGCAGGCCCCGCCCCCCGCCCCGCCCCGCCCCCAGGCACCACCCCGGACCCCGCCCCCGCTCTCCATAGTTACGGCGCTGTGGAGGCGGCGGCCATCTTGGCGGCGGAGCGATGAGCGGGTCCAACCCGAAGGCTGCGGCCGCTGGGTCGGCGGCTGGGCCTGGGGGGCTGGTGGCCGGCAAGGAAGAGAAGAAGAAGGCGGGCGGCGGCGTGCTGAACCGACTCAAGGCGCGGCGGCAGGCGCCCCACCACGCGGCAGAGGATGGCATCGGGGCGGCGGTCACGGAGCAGGAGCTGCTGGCTCTGGACACCATCCGGCCCGAGCACGTCCTGCGCCTCAGCCGGGTCACCGAGAGTGAGTGCCGGCCCGACTGCGCCCCTGCCCTCGCCCCGGGCCCCTTATCGCCTTCAGCGGAGCCGGCCGCTCGCCGCCTGACCGGCCCGGGGGTCCACCCAGGCCCCCTCGGCCGGTCAGGCCGCGTCGCCCGCCGCTGTGCCGGGCCGGCTCTGCGCTCCCCACCCTCAGCCAGACCTGGTTGGGAAGGGGTTCTCCTTGAGCTTGACCGCGCTCACCTGTGTCCGGCCGCGCCAGGCTCCTCCTGGGCGGCCCCAGCTGGAACTCCAGGCTGGGCCGTTCTCCTCCTCAGCTGGATCCGTTTGGGTAGGGAGCCCCTTTAGCTTAACCGGAACCTCCTGACCCTGGTTAAATAGGACCGCTGCCCCCTCGTCCTGGAAGACCCACGGGTATCAGTGAAGTTCCTGCTCAGCCAGGCTCCCTCAACCTGCCCCCTCCCAGCCTCTGCAGTCTCTGCCCGCCCAGACCCCTACCTGCTTTCTCTGCCTTTCCCTCCACTCCGTCCCCTGACAGCCCCCTCTCCAGCCTGCCTTGGCCCCCTTACTCCTTTGGTCCCAAGCCTTGCCCCTTTTGTGTGCAGGAGGGCCCTTCCTTCCTCAAACATATTGCCGTGGCGTTTTATGCAAATTTAAAACTGCCACTTTAGAAGATATGTTAATAAAGTTTCAGTTTATGTACACAGTCTAAAATGTGAATCTCGCTTTTGACACCTGTTCTAGTGAATTAAGAATGTGTCAGTGTTTAAGAAATGCATTTCTTGCGTAAAATGCAACCATCCTACAAGGTTTCATTGATAATAAGGAAGGGTGGGAAGAAATACATTGCCCACCCCCTGTCTTGGTTCTTCTCCCTTTTTATATTCTCTTCCAAGCCAAGCCCTGACTTGCCACCCTTTCTCTTGCTGCTATTTTCCCCTCTCCCAGGTTAGACCCTGCTTGCCCTGCCCATCCTGCGGCCCTCCAGACTTCTAACCCTGCGACACCAGCACTCCCTCCGTGGATCTAAGGCTGCCACAGCGTTACCTGCTGAATTGCTTTAGCTGTCAGCCTGGGGCTGCTCAGGTGTACCTCAGGTAGCTGGTGGCAGCTCCAGTAATTTGGGGGCGGGGGTTTAGACAGTGGGCCTTGGTCCAGCCTGTATGAAAAGGAATTCCCATCTCCTGATAGGTTTAACTTGATTCTTGATATTTCAGTGTCCCCCCTTTCCATTGGGTTGGGCCTGTCCTTTGCGTGCCTGAGTATTATCTATAGAAGGTCTTGCTATTCAGTTTATTGAAACATTGTGAAAACGCTGCTTCTGTTCTATCCCCGTTTTCATTTGGGGCTCTGAAGGTCCAGAAGTGCGCATCACCTGAGCTTTCTAGCCTCCTGCTTTCTCCTGATACCAAGGGTGAATCAGGCCATTCTAATGCCTGGCCCTTAGCGGCATTCTCAGTGGGCACTCAGGTCATGTGTAGGAGCTTGGGATTGGTGCTCTTGCTCAAACTCACCCCAGTAGCCTACTGGAGAAAGCCACAGGTCAGAGCGTGGTGACCTCTGGATTTTGTTCAAGTCTGTTCCGTTCAGCAAGTTATTTATTGAATACCCTTGAAAGGTGCAGAAGCCATCTCAGTCTTTTTAGGATTTACAAAGTAATCAGCGGGTCTCAAGTTTGCCATATTACTGGAGAGACAGCTTGTAAAACATGGAACAACTAACACAAGCAGACAGTGTAAGAAAAAGTGCTCAAATGAGTTGTGGAGAAGAAGATGCTATCAGGAGTCACATCGTAAAAAGAAATCAGGGAAGTTTCCTATGATCAGTACCATATTGACCAACTGCTCAGGTTGTCACGGGCTCCACTTCACTTTGGCCCAGTGCCCTCCCAGCAGATCTGCCCTGTCACTTGTGTAGGTATGGTCCACCGCCTGATTTTGTACAGTCCGCAAGCTAAGAATGGTTTTTACATTTTTAAATAGTTGAGGGAAAAAAAATGTCGGCACACATGGTTATATGCAATTCATATTCCAGTGTCTGTAAATAGTTTTATTGGACTACATTTATATGCAGGTTGTCTGCGACTGCTTTTTGCCACAGAGAGAGTTGAGTAGTTGTGACAGAGACAGTGTGGCCCCAAAGTCTAAATTATTTATGATGTGGCCCTTTACAGAAAACATTTGCTGATCTCTGCTGTGCGATACCCATGGCCGGCAAACAGGCACTATATTGGCCATTAGATCAGCATAAATGTTTTGTTTTATTTATTTATTTGTTTATTTTTAAAGTATTCTTTTAAAAAATTTTTTTTAAAGACTTTATTTATTTATTTGACAGAGAGAGACATAGCGAGAGAGGGAACACAAGCAGGGGGAGTAGGAGAGGGAGAAGCAGGCTTCCCCGTGGGGAAGGGAGCCCGACGTAAGGCTCGATCCCAGGACCCTGGGATCACGACCTGAGCCGAAGGCAGACGCTTAACGACTGAGCCACCCAGGCGCCCCAGCATAAATGTTTTAAAATGGATTTGTAAAAAAAATTCTGTTGTGACATCAAGTTAATAGATCATGGAAGCTTTGTAGGCCATTTTGGGGTTGTTTCTAAAGCAAGCCCCTGATACTATCCCTGTTTCTAAAAGTGTTAATCTTTCATCCCATCCAAATCCATGGTCTTGTTTTCTTTCTTCAATCCCCTTATTCTTCTCACACAACTTTTGCTTGCAACATAAGAGGAAGTTTTTGGTGTATTTTAAGTGAATTGTGTAAGAAGAAAAACCCTGAGTTTGCTTCAAAACTTGACAAAGAAATGGTAGTTTTGGAGGATTACTAAACAGCATTTGTCTTTCTCTCTCTCTCTTATTTTCAGATTATTTATGTAAACCCGAAGATAACATCTACAGTATTGATTTCACTCGTTTCAAAATTCGAGACTTGGAGACAGGGACAGTGCTCTTTGAGATTGCCAAACCCTGTGTTTCAGGTAGGCCTCGGTATTGTCGCAGCCACTTGAGAAAAGGTCTCCGAGGCTCCCGTTTGTGTGAGCCGTTGCATCCTGTGGCTTGTACTCCAGCATGTCCGTGCAGTGCCTCCTCCTGAAACCTGGCCTGCCTGGCGTACTGGTCGGAAGGTGCACTGAGAGGCTGGTATTTGTTGAGTATCTACCCTCTGCTGATTGTACATGTGTTTCTGTTTGCATCAGGTCCTATAATCCTCACATTTCTGGGAGGAGTTATTATTCCCATTTTACAGATAAGGAAACTGAGACCCAGAATTTCCAGGTACTTTCCTAAGGTTCTGTGCTCGTTCATCTTACCATGTTGCCTCCACTTAGGATAGGAAGCCTTGGAATTAAAGGAGAATGAGGAAAGCTCCCCTGAGCCTTGTGTCCTGGGAACACTGGAAGGGGTGATGCTGAGGGTCCCGGTCTGGGCTCCCCTGTCTTCTCCCTCGCTTTCCTTTAAACAGTGCCTCCTATTTCCCTGTAAGTCCTAGTTTGGATTTTAATCTTCACCATTTTCTGGATGAACAGAAAGCCCCGACCTATGAACTACTTGGGATTCCTTAAATTAGCTTTGAATAGATACTTCCCGTGCTTGTGATGCAGCCCCAGGGTGACTCATTCCTGGCCAGGGGACCACATGTCAGTCTTGGAGCTCATCACCGGAGACGGAGCGCCCTCTGGCATTAGTTTTTAGAACACCAGTGCGATGACTGCAGAGTATTCACTGAGGTCTGTATTAATAATTCTTTTTGCAAAGCTCTTCTCATCTGATTCGCTGCTCAGAAGAGCCTGTAAATTTGGTAAGGCAGGTATTAGTATCCCAGGTAGGTTGAAAGGCTTTCCTGAGAAGGTCTCAGCTCAGGTTCGTTGTACAGCCAAGGCTGGAGCCCTAGTCTTCTCACCCCATCCGGCATCCTTTGTGCTCTCATAATCTAGGGCTGACCAAGGCACCTAACGGCTCCAGCCTGTGGGTGCTTAGCTGGTGTTGGGAGGATCAGGGCCAGCCAGCTTCCTGGGTCTGTGGCATTCACATCCCTAAGTGACCCGTCCCAGTACTTCAGATGTTTTGTGGACCCCAGGGCTGCTTCAGATATGTGGATTTGGATTAGGCTGGGCCCATAGTAGTCATTTCAGTACAAAATTGAACTATCTCAAGAAGGTCAGCTGCAGATCCTGTAAAAATACCTTGATTTTCAACTTCTCCAGTCTTTACCTTTAAGGATCTTGATTCACTTAGAATATGCTCCCACTGAATCAGTACCTTCCTGCTGCTCTTGTTCTGATGAATTTGAATTCCTGAGAAGATTTGGTCTGATTCTCTCTGAATCACATTGTTGGAGCAAGGACTCTCCAGTGGCTGGCTCTGAACCCCTGCTCAGTCTGGTTGCCCATATGCTCTTGGGGTTGTCATTGGCGGAGATGTCTGGGGCTAAAAAAGACATCAGTTGCACCCATATTCAGCCTATACCTGGAGAAAATATTTTTGCTGGACACTGGATGGGTACTAGTGGGAACTACCTTGTTTTTCACATTAGAGTGGTTCTTTGATTCATTTTACAGAACTTCCACTTTCTGGGTTCAGGAATGGACTAGACTGGCTCTCATTCAGGTCCCACACGTTGGCCCATTGCCCATCTATCTGCCTCACTGTTTCCCAGTTGGTCAGTGTTGGACCTGGCGTGGCCTGGAATAGGCATTACAGTACCCCAAGACTGTAGGCCGGTATCTTCCATTTAAATAACAAGGTTATTTCTAGGAGTTATCTTTGCTGCCTATCAGAAATTTTTGCATTCTTTGAACTGGCCTTTTGACTAGTTTCAACCTTTGTAGTCTCATTCTTCTGGTTGGCGGCTAGGACTGCAGCCTCGTCACCAGCAGACATGTCTGTATGCTCTCGACCATGCCAGGGGCCTAGCACCTGGCTTATATTTCAGGCCGGTTCTCTTAGGATATGGCCCAAGCCCTTAAACTACATAAAAGGTAAATAGCTTAGTGTTTGAGAACAAGCTTTGAGTCCCTGGGTTCAAATCCTTTCTTCCCCCATTTACTATTTGGGGGACTTTGGACATGTGACTTAATGTCTCTGAGCTTCTGCGTCCTGATCTGTAACATGGAGATGGTGATGACACCCCCCAGGGTTACTCTGAGGATTCTGGGGAGTGATCAGCACAAGGCCTGGTATGTAGCAAATGTGCAGTCGACATTGACCATCCTGCTGTGGGTGTTAGTACCATTCACCGGTTGTGCTGTTGGGACCGGTGGTGCCAAGACAGTGCACTCGAGATGCTGTGTGCTCACTCTTTCAGACCAAGAGGAGGAGGACGACGACGAAGGTGGGGACGCGGATATCAGTGCAGGACGTTTTGTCCGCTATCAGTTCACACCAGCCTTTCTCCGCCTCCGGACAGTCGGAGCAACGTGAGTACCAGTATTTCTGGAGGGGAGAACACTCTTTGTCCACAAAGAATGTTCTTGGTTGGGTTCTGGATTGACTTTAGAGGAGGGAGGAGGCCAAGTAGGGCTCACAGAGGTTTATTTTGCAGAGTGGAGTTCACAGTGGGAGACAAACCTGTGTCAAACTTCCGGATGATCGAGCGGCACTATTTCCGGGAACGCTTGCTGAAGAACTTTGACTTCGATTTCGGCTTCTGCATCCCCAGCAGTAGAAACACTTGTGAACATATCTATGAGTTTCCCCAGCTTTCTGAGGATGTCAGTATGTATCCCCTGACTTCTGTACCATTCTAGATTCTTAGGGCTAGAAGGAACAAACCTTGGAGTCCATCTGGTCCAACGCCCTCATCTGGCAGAGGAGGGAGGTGGTGACATGATGCCTTTGTAGGCATTTGACCTCAGGCTTCTCATTTCCTAGTGCTCCTCTCTAGGGTTCCAAACTCTGCCTGTCTGGGAGCATCAAAGGTTTTAATAATGCAGGCCGTCTGCTTTAGGTGCCTGCTGCGGGAAAGGGGGTGACTGAAGGAGAGGCGGGGAGGCCCATGATGATCCCTGGGCCTAGGGTTAGCTGGAGTGCCTCTCTGAGCCGCTTTGGTTTTCCACTATGTTCTGGTCATTGGCTCCTGCCCGGCACTCCTTAGTCAGAGGGAGAAGTGAAGCTGGGGACCAACTAGAATCAGAAGTCTTTCTCATCCTCTGCTGTCAGACTAGATCCACAGGAAAAAGGGAATTGTTACAGAGTTTGGAGCAGCAGGGGTGGCCGGATGGAAGCCATGTCTTAGGAAGAGTAATCCTATAGTTCTGAGGAGGAAGAACTCAGGAGGCCCCAGAGGGAGAAGCCGAGGCAGGGGAAGAGGTGGACTGATCGAAAGAAAGAACAGGATTTATCAGTTCCTGGGACTCTGGTGACGCTCTCTTGGGTTAGCATTCCCTGTTGGTAACCAGGGAAAATGGCTCCAGAACAATGAGAATGTGAGCGGGATCCTGTGAATAGTGAATAGTCGGGGGAGTTTGGCTGAGTTGTAGGGAAGGACCTACATACACTGGTTTTCTCAGAATCCCAGGTCCTTAAAACTGTTAAGATTCCAAAAACCAGAATATTCTCCACTCACATTGACAGTGCTGTTTCCAGGTAAAATGAGGATTGCTGATGTGGGGCAGGCTGTTGATGACGGCCTCTGATCCCGCTCCCCAAGCTGGGCCAGAATAGGTAGATACTTGCAGGAAAGGATTATGTATAGTATTTCAAGTTTTTACCCAAGGCAATAGAACTTTTCTTCTTGAAACCAAATAAGCTGAAGGAGTGTGGAGGTCAATATTCTGGATATAAACCAAATAACTACGGCCCAAGTGGGTTCAAAGGACTTGAAACAATTCGTTTCATCTTTTGAGAACTGTGGTAAACAAGCGCATTTCCTCCAGAGGAGCCAAAATAGCATGTGATCATTAACTCAAAACCGATCAGAGGCTGTGGCTGTTAATTATCTTGACTGTCTAGTGTGGCTAAAGAGGTCTGGGCAGTTGCCTGAGCAAACAGAAGATTTAAATCTGGATCCCAAGACAAGCAGATCTTTTGCTGGATCATTTGCGACCTAATACCCCGAGCCATGCCTGTGAAAGCCTCCTCGCCCTTTGTCCCCCTGCACTCATGCATTCCTAGGCTTCCTTTGGTTGTCAGGGATGCCCATGGGGAGTGGGCACAGTGAGGCACAGCTTTTGGAATTTGGGCCAGAGTGTCTAGAGATGGGGAACAGACCAGAAGTACTGAATAAATAGTCTTCAGTGGTCCATGTTGGCAAAAGGGTAATCCTGTTTCCCTGGGGTTCTGATTAAGGGCTGGAGATGCCCAAGTAGTGCCATGTCAGAGTTGATTACATCCTTATGTTGAAGTGGGTATTGTGTTTAATTTGGGGGCCTCTGGTTCTCTCCAGCTCTCCAAGCCTACCCCCCCCTCTGTTCTGACCTCATTATTCTGGCAGAGTACACTCACACGTTCTGGAGGGCTGGCTTATGAATTACAGAGGGGATACTACGTTTTTCCCCACCTAGCCCAGGGGGCAGACTCACACATATGTCTTTCCTGTTTCCCTTTCTCTGACTTGCAGTTCGTCTGATGATTGAAAATCCCTATGAGACCCGTTCTGACAGTTTCTACTTTGTTGACAACAAGCTGATAATGCACAACAAGGCTGACTATGCCTATAATGGAGGCCAGTGACTGCTGCAGGAGTGGACGGGGAGGTGCTTTGCTGTGGCCCAAGGTCCTGGCACATGGAGGTGGTTGAACCTGCTGTTCGTCCACACACATCTGGAGCCTCATCCCGGGAAGCCAAGGCTGGCGTGGTAGTTTCCTGTGCTCAAGAGAGGTGCCAAGCAGTGCTGTGTTTTCTTCCCCAGTATTTTTTCTTCCCTTTTCCCTGCCCCATAGGTCGCAGAGGTACTAGAGTAAAGTAAAGGATTAGGGTCAGGTTCCTGGAGTCCAGAGAAAAAAGAAAGTCTATTTTCCTCTTGTCCTAGCTGCCTGCTGGTTGTGCTGATGAGCCTGGGTCTCTGCAGGCACAGCTGTGTCGGGGTGAGGAGGCTCTGGCCGGCCGGCTTGCAGCAGCTTCTCCGTAGCTTCCTGGGCACGGTGAGAAGCTGACAGCTAGGCCTCTTCTAGGCGATTCCTCCTCTTGCTTACAGTGTTGCTGTTGGCATAGTGTGACCTCAGTTTGTGTGTAGTTCTAAAGCAACTGGAAAGAAAGGGGGTGGTGGAAGGGTGCCAAGAGTGGGGGTGCAGGGGGCCGCTAGGGCTGCCAAACTGAAAGGTCCATGTTGTGGCGAGGCCTGCTTCTCTGTCTGACTTCCAGGATCTTCCACCAGCCCTCCTGGGGACACACCCAAGGTTTCAGCCTGGCAGTGCCTTCCTGTTGCCATTTTGGAAGAAAGATGAGCTTGCTCTGCTTGTCCTCCCTCCTAACTTTTGAGTATCTCCTGAAATAGACTGTCAGTTTTGTGCTTTTGGAACAGTAGGATCTCTTGAGGCCACAGCAGGCCTTGTATTTTGTGTTGGTTTTTTTTTTTCCCCCCCCTTAGTCTTCTTTTGGGGAGGTTTTATAAGACTACCGTGGTGTTCCCAGCATATATGGTGTGTGGTTAGACTTCTGATAGTATTAAACAGACGCCTGGGGCTAATCTGGCTCATGTTGGGGCCTGGGATAGTTACCGACCAGCAGCTACTTAAAGGAGGGATTTGATTTTCTCTACACAGGAGAGCCTGCAGGATTGGCTTATGATGTGGATTTGCCTCTGAAACTCTTTGTAGATTTCTTCTTTAGGAGGATTTTCCTGTCTGCCTTTCTCCTGAAATAATTTCTGGAACCATCCTGGCAGGTCAGACCTCAGTAATGCATATTCCGATCCTTCATACTGCTAGTTGGAATGTTTTTGGGTGTTTGGAAAAGATGAATGAAGTCGGCCGAGTTGGCTCTCAAAAGGTGTTCTCAGAAAACCTTCCCTGCACATCCTTGTGGGCTACTTTTGTCCTCAGGCCCTTCCTGGATAGCCTCAGCTCCTCCTGGTTGTCTGACTGGGGTGGCTGACCCTCTGATAAGATTGTTGCTGTGGCCAGGGTTTAGCATTGATAGGAAGGTAGCAGGAGGAAGGGCCTGGGCATGAGGGAATAGTCACTGTGAAGCATCATAGTAGCTGGAGAGCAGTCTCCCAAGATGCTTGGGACAAAGACCACATGGGGCCCAGGATAGAAGGGCCAGCACTTTGCCACAGAAGTCTCCTGTGCATTCGCTAACCAGTGTTGCTCCCTTTTTGGATTCTAGAGTGTGAGTGGCCTTGAACCTTGGCCCAGTGCTCTCTGCCAGGCCAGAGTCTGGGCTGTGCCAGATGCTGGCAGCTTTCTCACTGAGAAAACCCTTACTCCTGTGTGCTGGCACTGCATCCAACCACTGAGGGAGGGAAGAGACAAGGCACCCTGCACATGGGTTACTCATCACCATACCGGGTGAATCTCAGAACTGGAGTCGACCACAAATCCAGGTGCCTTATGTGTGGCTCTGTCCCACGTGCTGCTGGGAAAAGCTGCATTGCCCTCCTTCCCTCCTCATCTGTGGACAGACATCAGTACTGCCTCCTTGCCTGGTTTCTCCTCGTGACTTCTCTAGCATATTCATGTGTACATACTGAGCTTCAGAATCACCCCTTCTCTATGGGACAGTAGCCTAATCGGGAGATTTTCTACTATTTGTTATTTAATTATTATCTAGGATGTGGTTTCTGGAGCTGTCCAGAGCTCTGCTCAATAGAGTGTCTTGGAAATGTGTCCCAGGGCAGACCACGTCGTGTGGACTAGTAGGCTGTCTCTTCTCTGCAGTGTTAGCCTTTGCTGGGGGAGGGGGGGGGCTAGGCGTGCTGGCTTGAGTCATGCTTTGTCCTCCTCCCCATTAGCTTGCCTTAGTCTCACCGGACCATCTGGAGGCCGTGTGCTCCGTCTGTGCCCAGGAGCACAGGGGTATACCATTTGCTCCCGACGGTCTGTCTGGTGTTCTGTACCTGGGAGTCTGGATTCTTGTGTCTCACTACTCAGGAAATCTGGAGAAGCATCACCACTCTGGGGGGTGAACCAGAGTGAGTTTGGAATTCACGCTTTTGTACCTGACCTGGGGAAAGAATTGGAAGTCCTCCTTTCTCTGAAAGTAGCTGAAGCCGTCAAAAGTTGAATCGGGAGGCCATGTTAGTAAGGAATCGGGGCTGGTGATAGCAGTTGTCTTGGGGGTGCTGCTGGGGGAGGGGAAAAGTGACCTGCACGGGGACACCTTGCCTCCTGTTCAGAGCTGGCATCTGGGCGGCAGCTCCTGGAGGGACTCATGCCAGCAGCCTGGCAGGCCCACCTGGCACCACGGGGGCCAGATGCCTGCACCTCTTCCTCTGCCATCCTGCTCCTATCCCTCTGCCTTGGAATCTCCAGGAAGAGCATCTCTCTTTTCCTGTGGAGCCTTTGGGCTATGATGCCCTTCTTGCTTTTCCAAAGAAGATCCCTGTTGATTTCATTTTGTTCTAAAGAGCAAACAGAAGAAATAACCAATAAAAGTAGTTGTGGGCTAAAGTAGGCCACCCTGTCCTTATGTGTTTGCTCAGTGATCCTTTGCGGAGAAGGCAGTTTTCAGGGGCCTGCAGAACTCCCGGAAGACACGTCCAGCCATTGGGCCATCTGATTCTCCAGCAGGGGCAGTGATTTAGGGAAGGTGGGGCTCACCGTAGACTGGTGATTCTTGAAATGGCAGTGACGGGTAATCGTCGACCTATTTTTCCAGTTGAAGTGGAATTCATTTCTGGGATGGATTTAATAGGTTGTGTGTAATGGACAAGTTGGGGGAGTCTTGCCTTAGTGTGTCCTGCCACCCCCAGTAGGCTCCCAGGGTACTCTTTTTTTTTTTCCCCTCTGTCAAGTCACTTTCTTTTGGTGGCTCTTGTCACCACGATGGCAGTGAGATTTGAGGACTGGAGACAGTGTCCCCAGAACCACAGCATAGATTCCTTGCCAGGGCCCGAGGATTCCTGATGCAGAGGTGCTGCTGTACCTGCTGTAAGCGCCTGATCGTCGACTCATTTCCTCACATTCCATGTTACAGAACATCTTCGCCACAAAAAGGGTCTGGTGGAGGTGGATTTACCCCTTGTTTTACAAAGGATCGTGTAAAGTCATTGAAGTTGTGAAAGTCTATTTTTTCCCTGTAAATCTATTTTTCACAGAATATAAGAAACATCAATGACCTGATCTGTCCTTCCTCCTCTTTCCCCTTCACCTAAGATCCTCATTCCAGTTTGTATTGTCTTTGTGTCCAAAGTAAACTAGGTGACTTATTTGTACAAAATGTTATTTTGCCACAAGAGACAGTAATAAAAGATTTTCACAGTATGTGCGTCCTCTCTTGTCCCCTGATTGGGCCCTGTGGGTTGCTGCGGGGGAGCAGGTTTGGGGTGGGGGTGGACTCCAAGTTTCTTTAAATGACCTTCCTGTAAATAATGAGTGTTGCTGGTTTTTAGGATGATCAGGGAACAGTATTGGGCTCTAGGTTTAATATTTTTGCTTTGTTTTGCTGGGGGGGCTTTGTGAATTAAAAATGTATGTAGTATTTTAATGTTAGGGTTATTGAGGTATGCATTAACTGCAGTAGAATTCACCTGGTTTGAGATACAGCTGGATGAGCACGCAGCCTTATTGCCCCATCACAATCATGATACAGGGCTGTTGTATCACCCCGCAAAGTTCCCTCAAAGGCCAGTTCCCTTGAAACCATTGTCTGGTTTCTGTGTTTACTGGGAAATTGGTGTACTTTTAATATAAAACTAACACCGTTGTTTAAGGTAACAGTACAATTTTGAAGTAAGTCTGGCTTGGATGGTCTGTGGCAGCCGAAGCAGTCATTGGCCCGTGTCCACTCACTGATTTCCCCCTCTCCTGCTTCTTGCTTGCTTCTTTCACCCAGGACTGGCACCAGGTGGGGCAGTGGAAAGGTAAGGAAGGCCTCAGAGCATTAGCCGACCACAGTTCATTGGTTCGGGTCTAAAGTACTGTGGATTTAGAGGCTTTCTCTTAAATGAGAGGTAACATATTAAGGACTTTGCTGCATCTTTTCATTGATCTCGGGGAGGGAGAGCAAGGTCTTGGTGGAAGACAAATTTTGGCATGCGTGTCAGTGCTGGGGACAGGTGTCTGGCTGAGTTACAGAGGCGTAAAGAAGGACAGAGGGATGTGTGGGTGCCCGGGAGGGTGTGGAAGTCTGACTCATGCTTGTGCTGAAGGAAGACCCTTGTCAGGGCCCTGGAGTCGCCAGTTTCTTGGGGAGGGTCAAGGCGTCTCGATGATGCCAAGGACCAAATGCATGGCGTTGGGGGCAGTGCCCCCTGCTCCCAAATGGGCTCTGCCCCACGACTGGGGGTGAGACAGATGGGACTGCAGTGGAATAGGGATGACAGCTCCACCCCACCTGCACAACTTCTGGAGGAGAGATCCCCCTCCCAGGCAGCCCAATTCCCTGGGGCTGAATACTGAGCATCAGGGCAAGACAAGATCCTTGTGCCTCTCAGAGCTCACAGACTAGAGGGAGGAGTCGAGATGTCAGACGCTGAGTGCCAGGAATAAATAAAACACGCTGGGATGGAGAATGTGTGGTCAGGGCAGGCCTCAGTGAGAGTGAGACCTGAATGGAGGGAAGGAGCCTTCCAGGTGGAGGAACAGGGATTGCGAAGTCGAAGTCGTGGAGGCAGGAACAAGCCGGGGTATTGGAGCTGGCTAGTGCGGCTGGAGCAGAGACAGCGAGGGCACGGTGGGCGCGGGGCCGGAGAGCGCGTTCAGCGGTGCGGGGAGGGAGGCGGGGCCGGAACCTGCCCCCGGGGCGAAGGGGCGTGTCGGCCCGCCCTGG